GTACATTATGTACTGAGTAATAATAATTAACTACATGTACTTACTATAGGGTTAGGGTTTGGTTTAGGGTAAGTTGCGTGTAATTATGTATAATTTATTGTTATTACTGTAGTAACTTGTGTAATAAGGACACTAAAAATAAAAGTGTTACCATTTATTTGTTTAACGGATTATTTAGTTTGGTAGAGGTCATGTTTGCTCTTTTTTTCTGAGGACAATTTCTCAAAAGAAAAAAAATAGGCAAGTCTTGCATTCACAATTAAATTAATGATCATGTGTTGTAAAGAAAAAACAGCTTCATATCTGATCAGTCATGGCAATGTTACTTATGACGTCGGCGATCAATACAAAGTGGATAGTACTTGCCATTTGAAGGTAGACGATATCGCTCAGTTTCGTGAATTTCTATCGCTCTCTTCTTAAATGATTTTGCTGTAATACCCACTGCCGCCTTGATGTCCTAACAAGCCCCTTGCATTAGCAATGTCTCATCTGAATAACAAACAACCTTTTGGTGGTTGTTCTTGACATCCTTTTGTGCATATGGAAAACAGGAGGTGATGGTTTATCTCATCCTGACCACTGCATCTTTGCTCATCATTTACAGTAATTTAAGATGTTAAGGAGAGCAGCTCACCCATTCTTTAAAAGATGTTTACATTATGAATGCTCTTTATGGATACGCAAACTTTGCCCTTAGAAATGGCTAAATGGGGAGGACACTTGCTTCTAGGTTCTTTTGTAAGGTTCCCAGGTGCATCCTCTCCAGAGCAGAGAGAGTGAGTGGGCAGCACTGTTACACTCCACTGTAAATGGAGACCAAACAGAAACCCCTGGGGTTATTCTGAAAATTTTGATTCATTATTTACATGTTAAATGGCAAATAAAGCCCAAAATAATGTCATTGTCTGTATACTTTATTTATTGTATACATACAGTGCTGGTCAGAATTATTTGCCCCCTTGGTAAATATGATCAAAGATGGCTGTAAAAAAAATAAATCTGCATTGTTAATCCTTTTGATATTTTATTTAAAAAATTAAAATCTAACCTTTCAAGTAAAAGTAAAATAATTGAAAGTGGAGGGAAAATCACATTATGAAATAAATGTTTTTCTCCAAAACATGTTGGGAACAATTATTTGCCCCCTTTTATTAAATACTTTTTGCAACCTCCTTTTTCTAAGATAACAGCTCTGAGTCGTCTCCTATAATGCCTGATGGGTTTGGAGAAGACCTGACAAGAGATCAGAGATTGTTCCTCCATACAGAATCTCTCCAGATCCTTCAGATTCCCAGATCCATGTTGTTGCTTCTTCTCTTCAGTTCAGCCCACTCATTTTCTATATAGGGTTCAGGGCAGGGGCCTCATTTATAACCGTTGCGTACGCACAAAACAGGCCCTGAAAGAGGCGTACGCCACTTCCGATGAATAAGTTGTGATTTATAAAAAACAAACTTGACGGGAAAATTTGCGCACCTGCACGCAAACTCTGACCCATGCGTACGGACGAACATTTTGGAGACGGTGCAGTTTGGCGAATCCGATGGTAAACTGGAGTTAAATGTCTTTTTGGTCACTTTTAGACAGACAATTTAAAGAAAATTATACATATACAGAAAGATAAGACAAATATAATTTCACTCAGCCTTGCACCGTTAGTGAAACTGACGCATAGCCTATCTAACGGCAGATGAAGTAAAACCGTAAATCTTCATTATGAGTCCTAATCATAAATACAGTGCATGTTCTCACAATAAAAGTTTAAATACATAAAATTTTAAGATGGGTTTATCTTATTGGGTTTAACACTTAAGCACCGTACCAACCCATCTTTCATGGGTTTCGTGCACACAGGAATAAAAAAGTAGTGTAAAATTAATTACTCTGCTGTATCTTTAATGCTGTGGGCCTAATTTTCTGCCAGAGGTCCTGGACATCTTGTTTAGATACATGGCAGATATTTAAATAAAGCTGTTCTTTGTTCGTGTTAGTTCACAGTGCACCAACTTATGTTAACAAATTCAACTTTTGGTTTTAATAAATGTATTAGTAAATGTTGAAATTAACATTAACAAAGAATAATAAGTACTGTAGAAGTATTGTTTATTATTAGTTCATGTTAACTAACTAATGAAACCTTACTGTAAAGTGTTAACATTTTATTTTTGGAATTTTCTGGCTTTATTTATAGAACAGTATTGGTCAGTTTCACAGACAAGGCTTAAAGGAGAACTCCGGCGCAAAATGAACCTTTGGTCTAATTACACATTGGTAGTCAACCGTTATCTGAGATTTGTTTTCATGATTATCGAATGTAAATAGTTTTATCTCTAAAAACAGTTTAGCCTATAAAGCTAGTATAACGCTAGTATATTGGGCATAGATCAATGACAAATAAAAATCGCTTGTACCACTAACAAGGCTCAAAATAGCCCCACACTAACACGGTAGCATAATGAGGGTCCCTACCTTCAAACCGAAGCATTGAGAACTTTTCAGTGTCCAGACAGTTTAATAAGAAGATATTTAATACATACAGTCAACTTCGCGTATACAGGCAGGAGCCATCTTTGAAATACAGTCTCTACCAGTCGATCTACGAACGCCGATCCAAGCCTGCTGTTCGCGCTCACCTTATCACAACTTATAGCTCGTTCACATCTCACCAGCGCACTTGGATCGGCGTTCGTAGATCGACTGGCAGAGACTGTATTTCAAAGATGGCTCCTGCCTGTATACGCGAAGTTGACTGTATGTATTAAATATCTTCTTATTAAACTGTCTGGACACTGACAAAGTTCTCAATGCTTCGGTTTGAAGGTAGGGACCCTCATTATGCTACCGTGTTAGTGTGGGGCTATTTTGAGCCTTGTTAGTGGTATTAACAAGCGATTTTTATTTGTCATTGATCTATGCCCAATATACTAGCGTTATACTAGCTTTATAGGCTAAACTGTTTTTAGAGATAAAACTATTTACATTCGATAATCATGAAAACAAATCTCAGATAACGGTTGACTAGGTAACAATGTGTAATTAGACCAAAGGTTCATTTTGCGCCGGAGTTCTCCTTTAAGCCTAGTCCCAGACTAAAATGTATGTTTGAGCTGTTTTAACTGAAAGCAACTTGCACTTACATATCTTAAAATATGTCAATGCCATTGTTTTGTCTCAAGATGTTTTTTTCTCAGGCACGTTTATTTAAGCTACTTAAATGTCCTCCTTGAACTAAGACCTAATCCTTGTCTGTAAACCCGGGCCTATGATTAGGGGTGAGAGACCGAACCTGAGTTCCCATGATCCCACAAGTTCATATATGGCATATACTTCAATCCGCTATTCTGCAACTTTGACAACAACCAAGAGTTTTAAAATTATTGTGCTTTATTGTATCTTAAAGATTCCAAATGCCCACAAATCATTATTTTTCTCAATTCAATAAAACAAGAAAAAAACAAATCCGATTACTGTAAACATTCACATATTATTAATCAAAAAAGTATTATAATCTTTATGTAAACTGATTGGAAAATAACACTTTTTTGTACACTTCACAGAACAACAACAAAAAAGAGAGAAAGAAAGAAAGATTTATAGGCAGTATAACTCCAAACCATTGGCTTAGATTGTGTTTGAGGTTGATCTATGTGGTGAATCCATCAGCTCAAATTGCACGTATCAATTGCACATTTCATATTAAGTTAGTCTAAGACAAGTAGAAGCACCACCATGGAACACATGTTGGTAAAAGTACATCTGGACTCAGATCAACAATCTTAATGAATTGTCCCGGACTAACCGACAAACAGACGTACTTCCTTAAATGTGCGACTTCAGCACTTGACAAAACCAATGGTGTTTTTCGCTCCAAAACTACAGGCAACTGAAGTGCAATAGTTCAATTCAGAAGTCACCGTGCAGGACAAGTCATCTCATGAATTGATCAAAGGCCCAGAGTCTACGTACTGTATACGGCAAGAGTTTAAATCAACTATTGCCAAAAAAGAGATGCCACAAAATTGAATGTCAAGGCACTTCCCCGAGTGAGGATCTTGTCTTTGAGCGACATGAAAGTCAGGCAACAAAGTAATTCACAAAACTAAAAGTAAAAACTTGGCAGCTCCAATTCTAGTCAGTTGTATTGGAGAGAAAACTAATCACACAGTTTTACTGGACTTGGCTGCTTTGGTGTCATCTACTAATGAGGGTCCTAACAATAAAACCTGCACCTTTCCATTCAGGACTCATGTTTAGATCTGAAACACATTTGAGACTGTAGTAAAATGCCTGCATGTTAAATCTCTTCAATTAGAGGTCATTCGTAAAAATATTACTACCTCTACATACTGTACACAAATGAGTTGAGTACATGCAAGGAATACTTGACATGTCCAACCATTTCTTAGCTGCTCATTTTGGGCGCAGCATGGGAATAAATTAATGCAATGATACACAAAAACACTTGTGGGTAAATTATATTTCTGTAAATAAATTCTTGATATTTTCTAGCAGTACAAAAAGCAGAGCAAATAATATTATTAAGCTGTCTGAGATATACTATTTGATTTTAAATACTGATTTTTAAAAAAAATATCTATTATGATATTATCTTTTTCTTATCCATGATATTTGTACATTTTCACCTTTTTTAAACTAATATATTTCCCCCTTATAATAGTTATCACTTTGTTTATGAATCATTTTTCTGATAATTGTGATTTCTCATTGGAGATGCCAAGTCATTATAACAGGGAGTAGTTAGAAAAGTTGCTCAAACAATACTGTGTACAACGTGAGTAGAGCCGAAGTGTTGCCTTGACTTGAGCTTTGATTCTCATACGCATTTTCATTAACGGGCAATACTTGTTACCCATAATTCCCTTTTCTTTAAATATTGTAACACAACAAATGTAATACAAATTCATAAATATATCTACTGTATATACTGTCTATAGCCCACAATTGGTATCACATCTTCCTTCAAACATTGATAAAAAAAAAGAATTCGAAAGAATAAAAAAAAACTTTAAAACAAATCAAATAGACTGTTTTCTTAAAAACATCGAAACGCACTGGTAATCCTTTGGAGCATCGTTTGCTATGCTGATCTGTAGCAGTACTTGTGGTGTTGAGCCCTCAGGAAATTTGAGACTTTTTTTTTTTTTTTTCTTATCCAGTGACCTGGAGACCTGAGCGTCTTTTTTCAGGTACAGATCGCTATCAGTAAAATCCCTGGGAGGACCCACGCTGAGGTCCTTTTAAACATATTCTACACAAGGTAAGCTACCAAACAAAAGATAGGAAGGGGGCATTTCACCAGGATCACAGAGATCTAAGATTCCACCGACAGATCAGAGACTGACTGAACCATGTTTTTGTAGACTGGGGAGTTCATGAATCGCGGATACGAGTCTCTTTGCATTAGTGTGTATATCTGGAGCTGGGCGTCGTCAAACGTGTGGGATGTTGGCTCCAGCATATTCCTGTTTATAACCTCCCGAACTCTAGAGTCGAGGCTCACCTGAAAAAAACCACACAAAAAAAATGAATCCTTCTGATTATACAGGAAATGTGATTAGGCTCTTCCTACACGTGCTGATGCGTGGTTCACTCACCTCTTTGGGTGAGAGAATAGAAATGTAGTCTTCATAAATTATCCGCGCCTTCTCCTCGATGAAGCTTTTATTGGTTTCCTTAGTAAATTCCTCGCAGGCCAACCAGAAGAGCATGTTTTCCTCACTGAACTCGGTGCGTAGAAACTGCCGGAAGGCACTTCTTCCAGTGGGGCATTGCATTAGTTTGTCAAAGGATTGCCCCCACAAGTGTATCTCCTCCGCAGTCGGTTTCGGACTGCCAAAAAACAGAGGGGTCTTAGTCAGTTTTGGCAACAACAAACGTTTGCCAAAAACGGCGCAAAATTTTTTTAAAATAATGTTTTAGGTGTAATTTCTCGGAAAGTTTGAATCTTGTAGAACTATAGTAATATCTAATAATTCTATTTAATAATTCTATATAAGTAATAATTCATTTAAATAAAAATAAAGAATATTTTAGGTGTATAAATTTCTCTTTATTTCTCAGAAAGTTACATCTTGAAGAACATGTAAATAAAAATAAAGAATATGTTAGGTGTAATTTCTCTGAAAGTTACATCTCAGAACTATAGTAATTAATTTAAATTAAATAAATAATGTTTTATGTATAATTTCTCGGAAAGTTTAAATCTCGTAGAATGCGCCGACGTCACAATTACGTCACAGCGCTAGCTGGAGGCAAAACAAACGAGTAGGAGGTCTCTGCGGAAACAAAAGTGGGTGTTTCTAAATTTGTGGGTGTTTTCACACTGGTGGGTGTTTATAAATCATGCAATGACAATGATGCCCTTCTCCCGACCCCACCCCTAAGACCTACCCACACTGTGACGTGGGCAAATCAGGTAACGTGGTTGAAAACGCCCCTCTGTTTATGGCCTCGCCCCCTGATCTGGTAACTCCTATTACCGTCTGCAGAGACCTCTATGTGAAACAAACGGACAACTGGAGGCGGCCAATACAAACCAGCACAGATTTGGCTACATAACAAGGAGCTTAAATTATTATTATTTTTATTAAATGTCATCTTGTTGTGTTGTTGGGTGCAAGAATCAATGAAAAATGAATATGCTGTATCTGGAATTTTTATTTCTAGAAAATATTCACATCATTAGCATTGCACCGTAATGTCACTCTTTACATTGTCGTCTTCTTTGCGCTGGCTCGGCAGAACTGCGGATCGTACCACACAAGTCTTGTACATGACCATTCAGCACATAGTTATAGATTTATATGCCCTCAGTTTCTCTTTACGCTCGGTTTCTCTATCGGATAGACTTCTACACCTATCCGATAGAGAAACCGAGCGTAAAGAGAAACTGAGGGCATATAAATCTTTAGATGCCTAGCTAACGTTATGTGCTGAATGGTCATGTACAAGACTTGTGTGGTACGATCCGCAGTTCTGCCGAGTCAGCGCAAAGAAGACGACAATGTAAAGAGTGACATTACGGTGCAATGCTAATGATGTGAATATTTTCTAGAAATAAGAATTCCAGATACAGCATATTCATTTTTCATTGATTCTTGCACCCAACAACACAACAAGATGACATTTAATAATAATAATAATAATTTAAGCTCCTTATTATGTAGCCAAATCTGTGCTGGTTTGTTGGCCGCCTCCAGTTGTCCGTTTGTTTTGCCTCCAGCTAGCGCTGTGACGTAACTGTGACGTCGGCGCAAAAGGGGTCTATAGCACTGATCTATATAGAATGACATTATGTAGATCAGTGGTCTATAGTAATTAATTTAAATAACAATAAAGAATATTTTAGGTATAATTTCACAGGAACTTGCATCTCACGGAACTAAAGTAATTAATTTAAATATAAATAAAAATCTAAAACACAACTTGGCAAACAATTTGGGTTATGAAGCTATGAAAGCCTTTTTGGTTTCAATTTTTAAATATGTAACAGAAAATGCTTGAATTGTTTTTTTGCAGATAAATATAAAATTACACCCATTTAACATAACATTGTAGCTATCAAAGATGTCAGGTTTTTTGTTTTGTTTTTTTAACATAAAAATAAAGAGTAAGTTACATTTCTTTAGTTTTACTAAACCTCTTCCTATAAAAAGCTGGAATGACTGACCTTTCCTCGAAGTCTGCATTCTCCTCTGTTTTAAAATCATACGAGGCTCTCCGGTTCCTCTCTTCTCTGTCTTCATTCCTAACAGTGAGACTGCAAGGTAGTAAACATATCATGATCCCAAGACACCTAACAGTCGGCATTAGGAAGCTTTGGAGTAGCTTTCACCTGCTCAATGTTCAGTTAAGCACTGTTACTGGTGCTCATTATAAGCTCACAGCCAGGACGCCATGAGTTCTGCTGATTTGCAAAGCAGATGTCTTGGGATCTCTGACACCTCAGTGAAAATTGCATCATACTACATACATGCACAATGAGCAAAAACAGCATTTAAATCATATCTGAGCCATATTCCAGGTGCATTAACTGGAGTAAACATAAGTAACAGTCGTGTCAGATGCAGTTATTATCTTATAATAAGGTGATTTCCTGGCCCAAAACTAACCTTGTTTGATAAGATCTCACATTAGCAGTGTAAATGATGAAAAAACTCCTACCAGGAGCAGCTGCAGCAACAGCACCAACAGAAGCAGCAGGCGTTGGATGCACGGTTCCCCTGGCCCGGCTGCTCGTTCTGCGCCGGTGCTGTGGTGCCCGCCACCGACTCCTGCTGCACCGACATCTGCCTCTTTCGCATCTCCATCCGCTCTGATCCCATGGGCTGCAGGAAACAGGATGCAACTGAGACGGAGCCAATACAACTGCAGCCACAGAGATCAACGGGACGAATTAATGGTTCAACAAGCAATTGTAGGGTGTAGATATCAGAGGAAGTTATTTTCCTCAAGTCCACTTAAACATTCTGTGGTTTCCAATGGAGAAAATAATGCTTTTAAACAAGCTGTGCAGAAGAAAAACAGAGGCCGGTCAAACAAATATGCACGAAAGTGGTTTCCATTAACTGACTATGCTGGGAAAAAAAAGGATGGAACGTTAACCCCAGCAGGATGCTAAATGTGCATATAGATTAAGTGAACAAAACATGCTTAACATGGACCAAAATGTCCTAAAAATTTCACAAACACTAACATGACCTAACATTTTATGTCATACTTATCTCAGAATGCTCTCTGCAGCTGATTTGAATACATGTATACTTCCCACACTTAAACATTGGCCATAACGTGAAATTATGCACCAGTGGCAACATATTTTTGCAAAGACTTTCTAGATTTTCGTGTGAGAAAAGTACTAGGTTTTTTTTTTTTTTTATTAAAAAAGTTCAAACCTTACATCTAATAACTATTGGATTCCAGTATCTGAATCATAAGCATGTTGATGAAATAGCTTATTATCACAAGATAGGCTAATTATCACATTCAGTGTTACAGTGCTTCTCATTTTGCAAACATGCTTAAGCCAACAGCACAATACATTTAGACGTGTTGCCATGTGGGTGGGTTTTCTCTATTTCTTCAAGCTTTGGTGTCGTTACTGATTTAAACAACATGACTTTGGGGCTCAAACAAACCATGCCGTTCATGGATAACAAGTGGCGGTTATTTTAAGCAAATGTATAGGGTCCTGAATTGAGTTATCTTTATAAATGCATGCTAATGAGAGTTGTAATCATTAAGAGACTACAGATCTGTTGTTTTAATCTCACTAGATCTTGCTGTGTTATTTCCAAAGAATTTGTGGCATCAAATTCTAAGCTGGAAGATGTTGGAATATTTGGGGGTAGGAGGAGGGGGCGCAGCACGCTTTCTAGCTGCAGTCGGATCTCACAGCCGCGGTGCATAAGAAATGCTCGAGCCGTGATTGATGATAATCATTTTTTACACGGTTTTAAAACACACAGACATACACATTTACGGAGTATTTCATCTCCTTGATTTAACGACTGGCCAACGTTGATGATTAGATTGGCTGACAGAAAAAGGCTGATATGCTCGGCTTCGTTTCATCGAAGCAGAATTGACGAAACAATTAATAGCTATTATAGTTTTAAATGTGAATCGCATCCTTAAAGATGGGGCACACGCGGAAAATAAAAAGACACCGCGCATTCGACTCTTGTGAAAAGCAACAACAACAACAACAAAAAAAACCGTAATGAACAGCATTTCCATCGCATATCATCGCATTGCAAAAGTGCCACCATGAAGCACAGCTCCAATATCTCTTTATCGCCCAGGACAACCATCGAAAAGACATTTCTGTCAAATATGACATGCCATCTTTAACAATCAAACTCAAATATCGTTTTATCCACAGACACTTTGTATATTTAAAAACAACTTATGATCCCCATACTTACAATTTCACCATGTATGCCCAGAGATAAGAGATAGCTATTCTTTGCCTTGATTACATCCGTTGGCATAAGGATTTTTTAAAGACCGGCTGTTTGTGTCAATGCGCATGCGTGTCTCTCGCGAGCTGTGGCGAAGGTAGCGTAAATCCTCTGGATGTCACTGATTCATGGTGCACTTATCTATGACATATTTCAATATTGTCCTACACTCCTGGAAGACTAAATGCGATTACTTACTTTAAAATTAACGCGAAGCATTCGCATGTGGTTTAAGAAAACGATAGCCTATACGCAATGTCGCAAACGTTAGGTCAATAAGTAAACCATGCAGCTTAAATAAAGTTTTGAGTGTTTAATGCAAATGGATAGCTAGGTTTAACACTGCCACCAATGAAATTATTGGTCATCAAATGCAGACCGATTATGTCCCTGTGTGCCTCACAAGAGATGTCAACGTGTCGTAGAATGTGACTGGCAGGGTAGGCTAATGATGGACCAAGGGCTTAAAAATGTGAGGAAGATCCCCGCCCTAAGCACAGAAACATCACACGGAGGTTCCCTTTCTTCCTAAGGGTACCAGGGCTTCCTAAGATTCACTTGTGTGGTCGGGGTGACATAATAGATTAGCCTCTTGGATCGAATTAGTGACAATAATAAGCATTCACCAAATTCTCCAAAGACAAACAAAATTGTTCCCTAGAAGTAAATTATGTCTATGTCTGTTTAAAAGAGGTCCATTTTAAAACATTGTATAATAGCCTACATATCTTGTGTGCATTCTTGTTTAGCTATAGCCTATGAAGATTAGAAAACATTAACATTATTTGGTTGGATCAAATCTTGACAGCAGAATAAAGGCGGATAGCAGCACCGATGACTCTGTCCATGGTCCTGAAATAGTATTTTCTAGCAACCAAAAGCACACATACTCCTCGTACAATGAAATCTCACATTTCTAATTGTAACTCGTTACGTTATAAGTTCGAGCACCATCGGCTGATCCTGATGAAAACGTTTACGACTTTAACCGAACAATGACTGACAATTTGCTGACATAATTAGCAATTGCACACAGTCGTGATTACCATCTTTGCTGGTCTAGGGCCTTTATTTGGGATATAAGTGCATTACTGACATCTGCTGGAGCAGTGCGAGGAACTGCTGGAAAAAAAATGAATTTGAGCCAGACATAAAGACGAGCCTGCATTGCATATCAGAAATGTCGTATTTAAAGCGCATGACGTGCGATGAAACTAATTCATATCCATCGGAAATGCTTAGAAACGTGAAACTGTAGCTAGATAGATATAGCCTATATAGAGATAAGAGTATAATGACATCCGACCACTGTGTGGAAAAGGCACAGCTCAATGCAAACGCTAGGTGGTAGTGTTTGAGCGCTTAGATCTATATACCTTTCCCTCAAATAACATTTTACAGTGTTTAATTGCTATGCCTGCATATCATTTGCATCACGAAATACCATACAATTGGATAATTATTTTAGTTTGCTCTATAGATTTTAAATTACTACCTGTTTTTAAAGAACGTTGGAAAAATATGTTCAAGTCTTAGACTAAATATAAAAAAAATGTCTTCCTCTCACCACACTGAGAAACAGAGAATGACAGGCCAAACAAGCACCAAGAACATTATCTTACAGTTTATACACCTTCCAAAAATGCAAACACTGGCGCAGGCTGCTGTATCCATGACAAGACGAAAAGTTTTAATGCTTTAACAAACATTAGGGAACTTCAAAACACATGAACAGTAAACAACACACACAGCAGAGTTTGCAAAGCCAAAGGCTCACAATTTATGTGCTGCTCACATATACGGTCTGATTGTCGAGCTGCGACTTGACTGCTCAAGGCCTACATGTGAAATATGAGGGGTAAACCCCAGAAGTTGTGCCTATAGATGATATCCAGAGATATCGTCAAAAGCATCAGCTATCGATATCCAGAGGATTTAGCATTTCCAATTTATGTATTAAATTATAATAATTATATTATAATATAGGCCTACATATTCTTAAATTAATATTACTATTCACTGCGAGAAAACCCTGACATCACAAGTACATCTTGGAGACGTCTATTTTATGTCTTCATTTATTTTTAAAGGGGTGGTTTAATGCCCCTTTTTACAATATGTAAAATAAGTCTCTGTTGTCCCCAGAGTGTGTATGTGAATTTTTAGCTCAAAATACCCCACTGATAATTTTTTACAGCATATTAAAATTGTCCCTTTTTGAGGGTCAGTAAAAAAACATCGTTTCGCGTGTGTCCCTTTAAATGCAAATGAGCTGCGGCTCCCGGCATAGAGGGCATAGCTTCAAGAGCTTGTGTGCGTGTGTGTGTGTGTGTGTGTGTGTGTGTGTGTGTGTGTGTGTGTGTGTGTGTGTGTGTGTGTGTGTGTGTGTTAGCAGCTCCAATTACCTCAATAGCATCAGACAAGCACTAAAATGTCAGAAACTGTTCTGCCTTTTATGTTTAAACTGGAGTCGGACAATGATGGAGAGACTCAAGAAGAAGTGACAACATGCAGAATGCAACAGGAAGTTTCTGAATGGTTAGTTGATGAATTTATGTTGCTGATGTGGAGTTAACTATCTTCAAGTCTTTGATTAGCATATTCTGTCATGATAATCTATAAAATCGCTCGTGTGGGAACTGTTGTAAGATGCCAACAGGGTGACATGCTATTGCATTTGTGTTACTCTGTATTGCATGTGAAAAGACGGATGCTATAGCTTGAGCCGACTCACAAATGTGTTCTACTACAACAACTTTTCCGGCAACGCTTTAGATTACAGCCCGGAAAGTACTGTGTAATTAAGACGAATTTACAGTGTAACTTTCTGTAATTATAGTGTACCTATAAAGTGCTTACATGTAAGTAAGTATAAGGGAACAATATGTAAAGTTTGGGGAATAAAGGGGTAACAACCAGGAGAATTAAAAAAAAAAATGTATACTGTAAGTATTATAGAACTAAGGGATACTTATTCTACTATTATGATACAACAATCTTACATTTGGGAGCAATTTAGCAAGAACACTGCGTACCTTTTTGTAATAATTGTGTACCAATACATACTGTATAGGCTTTTTAAAAATGATATACATATCTATTATTATTATTTTTTTTGATAGTTTGTGTTTGGGCTAACATGTTTCAAGGCAAGAAAAGCTAAGACTATTGCAATTTTTTTTTAAATATGGGAAATATATCTGGTTTCATGTGGTTACAGGGTAAGGGGTGCTTGTATAATAAATAAAGGTTTCCGAGTCAGTGATATAAGATTGTGTGTATGCATTTTTATTGTACTTACCCTGTAACTACATGGAACAAGAGGGTAACAAGAACCACTTTAATTTACAGCCCGCAATGTCACACTTACCCTGTAACTACATGGAACAAGAGGGTAACAAGCACCACTACATGAAACAAGAGTATCTTTCCCCAATATTTAAGCAAAAGTTGCAATAGTTATTGTTTTCAGTGCACTTTTGTTAAAAAGATTACTAAATAAATGCATAGATATGTACCCTGTGATTTTTTAAAAGCCCATACAGTATGTACTGGTTCACCATTATTTCAAAAAGGTACGCAGTGTATGTTCTTGCTAAATTGGTCCCAAATGTAAGATTGTTGTATCATAATAGTAGAATAAGTATCCCTTAGTTCTATAATACTCACAGTATAAATAATTTTTTTAATTCTCCCTGTTGTTACCCCTTTATTCCCCAAACTTAAAATATTGTTCTCTTATACTTATATTGTAAGTACGTTATAGGTACACTATAATTACCGAAGGTTACGCTGTAAAATCGCTTTAATTACGCAGTACTTTCCGGGCTGTAATCTAAAGCGTTACCACTTTTCCTCTTCTCAACATGGACTGCATGTTCCCGGGAGCGGGGTTTATGTACATTTTAGGATTAGTGATGTCACTAACCCAGGAGGAATGTCTTGTAGTCCCTACCAGCCATTTCTTGTAGTCCTTAAAAAACGATTTATTTTAAAGCAAATATCTTCCTTTGCTTTGAACTTTGAGCCTTGTAACTTTTCAAATGTTGTTTATGCTCAAACAGCAACATTACACACTAACTAAAGTTAGAAAAGTGAATTCATAATCAACCACCCCTTTAATAAAAAAAATTCCACTTAATTTCACTTAAGTCTAAAGCGCAACTTATGCGAGTAATGCTGATATTTACGCTGCGCCATGACGCACTACGCTACTTCCGACGTCATAAGTTGCGTAAGTTGCGCTTTAGTAGACTGCGTATGGCCGTTTGGCCGGAAGCTAGAATTTTCAATCATAGGCTTTAAAGAGCAGGTAACACCTGACTGCTGCAGATTCATTTCGGCCTTGATAGTGATGCCATTGAAACGCATAAATTCGAGTCACGTACCGCAAGTGTAACGTCACAGGTTTCCATCTCTTCCAAATTACAGTTAGTTATGGCGTGAACACAGCATAAGCGTGTTGTTTCGGTTCAGGAGGAAATGTAAAAGATGGCTGCTGTTTCAGTTGCGGTGATTGGTGACTGATGTCTGCATAGCATGAAACGTATGGAAATACATACGTTGACAGGCAGGTAGCACATTCGGACCGAATTCAATGATTGGACGAACATTTTATGATCCTGCACCTTCCACAGACGACACACACACACACACACATATATATATATATTTAGACCACTTAACTTATAAGGATGTGAAGAGACCTTCAACCAGCATTAAAAAAAAAATAATAAAAAAAGGGAACAAATCGCCTACCCTGCCTTTAATTGAGATAAAGCAGTTAAACTCTCTACAGGTCACATACAGCCACTGGGTTTCTTCAGAGTTATGAATTAAGACTCTATATAATATCATGTAATTAATTATATTTTATTCAATTAAAAGTATTTATTTGAGTGTATAATGAGTGTAGGCATTTTCTCATTTAACTGTTTATTAGACCAGCATTCAGTGACAAAGCTTAGGATTTCTTTAGCTCCCATACCTATTGTTATGAAAAGTGAAAGGTCTGATCTGAAATACATTCGCCAATAGTAGTGCGACCTTTGAAACAGAAAGGTCAGAGGAAACAGAAACCGAGAACTCTCTAGGAGAGGAGAAGCTGATTTTAAGGTTCATGCCATTTTTGAATTGATCTCCACGAAGGTCATTAGAGTTACTTATGTGAATTTAAGACATTCATTAAAAAATACACCAGACGTCCACTGCTGTAAATTTTAAGGCAAGTCAACTGTCTATGAAATCATCTAACAAAGAGCTTTTTAATCTTAAAATTAAAAGTTAATAGAAAGTGTTCCATTAAATGAGAACAAGATAGCGAATCGGAAACTGTCATTTTTTCCTCTGACATCATTAAAATAACTAAAAGAGACTGTCCTATTTCCATCCAACATGCTGAAGATGGCAGAGGGCAACTGTGTAGGGCTCAGTCTAGAAAAACCTGTCACATTTACTCAGATGTTTCACAATGATGAGTGCAATAGGTCATACTATAATCAGTACCGCCAATTCAGAAAAAAAAATATATATATACATTTATATAAAATATAAATTTACTTAAACTAAGAAAGAAATGCAAATTGTATTTATTGCAATCACTTATAAGATTTAGAGATAGTTCACATACAATTGAAAATTATTTCATCATTTACTTATTTACATTCCAAACCTGTATGACTTGTTTTGTCTATAGTCTATAGACTCTATACAAAGGGTCCAATGTTGTTTTGGACCTCACTGACTGTCATTGTATGAACAAAAACAATTGAAACCTTGTTTATATAGGCCTATATATATATATATATATTACAATAATGTGTTCTCTTTTTGGCATCCAAGTTTCAACAAATAAATTAGACTTGAATTGTAGATAATAATGATTTATGACAGTTAATATGCCTAATAATGATAACGCTTTTTAGTGAATGAAGTTAAACAAAATATGAAGATTTTAATAAATAAATGTATTCTTTCTATGGCTTCCAGATTTCAGCAATTCATTTACAATTACTTGTATGTATGTAGGCCTATGTATAAGAGTATATATACAGTATGTGTGTATATAGGAATGTGTGTATGTATACATGTTTATACATGTATTGTTTATGTTCAAATTTTGATGGGTAGATGTTGTTTTGTAAATAGGGTAGGCATAATAAGCCACGGCTTCAGCCTATACTCGTTTGGTTACCGTTCTTTGTTTGTAATGAATTTGCTGCACATACATTCTGTTTTATGTTTAGTAACCGAATAAACTTTATTTCAGTGACTATCACTGCGATGTATGCCCCATAAAGCTGTTTTTTAATGAACAGATTCAAATCTAATCTTAAATGTGGTTTTATGCGCACTGTAGTGACCAGTTAAACCACATCCCACAAACATGGCAGTCCTACTTTTACGATCAACATCAAATATTGAACATTTATTCACAACACGAAAGCGCTAATCCAAAGAAATCCAAAGAAACTGCGTGTAGCGTAAACTGTGACTGTTATAAAACTGAACGCTGGCTACTGACGTCACTTGCCATTATGTGATGCTGAGGTGCCTCACGTGATCCAAGTTAGCCGGTATGTTTTCCAATGTCAAGAGCCGCACAGACCCTCTCATCTCCCAATAATAATTCTCTGCATGACTTTCAATTAACTTCCTGGTTGAACTGCTTAGAGGTGGGTGATATGACTAAAAACTTAAACCCTATTATGTGTCCTTTTAAATATGGCAGCGATGCACATCACATAATATTACATTTGTCACTACACAAACAATTTATAAATTGAAACCAAAACTGCAAATTTCTGAATTCTTAATATCACATTAAGCAACTTCAATTACTAACTTCAATCGACTCTTATACCTGACATACCTGAATGTATATGGGATCCTTTAATCTGTCCTCCGTGTTTTCATTCTCGTCCTCATTTTCATAACTTTCTGTCGCTAAGTAACCCTCGTCGTGCCGACAGGCCAAGAGAAGATGCCGTAGCTGCCCCCACATCAAGTAAGGAGAAAGCTGAACACTCTGTACCACAGAAGAGGGCCAGACCTCCCACTTCAAGACGATTCTGTTACATGGCATTCCTCACCTAAAGATTTCCATGTTGTCAAAGAAACATCACGTTCACAAAGATCCAAAGCCATGGGTCCATGGCAGTTTCACATGGTCAGCAGGTACCTTAAAAAAGACACTTAAACAGAAGACAACAAATGAGAACAGCACTTGGTGAACAGGGCATAAAAGGGATTACACTTGTGCATGTCCCATGGAGTCTGATCCCCTAGTGGTTTAGTGCACTTCGAAGGCTTAGGACAGATTAAACACAGGATGTGTGTCGTTCACAGCATGAGTGTGTGGTGTGAGCAATGTTTGGAATAAAATAGATGCATTTTTAGAGTTCAATGTATATGACCTTCACCAGTCAAATGTGGTTGACTTTAACCCTTGTGTTCTGTTCGATTTCTGTGTACTCCCCTTATGGACCGGGTCAAATTGACCCTAATTGGATTCAATACAATTCCTCAAAAATCACACTATGAAAAACAACAAAGATTTAGATACAAACTGTAAACTTTTAATATCAACATTTGTCAAACATTACAAAAAACATTATATCTGAAAATATGATTTATGAAAATGTTTTTAAAACATTTTTTAAAACAGTTTTGTTTTGACAAAATTGGAAAATAAACAGTATACTGATTTTTTTTGCATATATATATATTTTTTTTACATTTTATGATTTGAACATCGTAACTGAACAAAAAAAAAATGCTGTATAATGAAAATTTTTCATTTTCCTAAGTTAACTTTCCCTAGTTTCCTAAGACCTATTTTCCTAGTTTCATTATTCACTCATTGGGAAGTGAGAAACCAAACATAACAAAAACATACATCAAATAAATGTTTTTTATTTATTTTTGGCTCTGTGAAGCTGCCTTTGAAAATCCTACATAAAAGTTTTGGTTAAAAGCTAGGTATTTTAGATATTTTGAATATTGAAATGAGAGCTTATTTTACTATCTGTGTCTGACAAAGATTTTCATCTGTAATTTGCTAATAATTCTGAACACTGTAATTTTATCTTTTTCAAGTGTGTTTGGTTAGGGTTAGAGCACTTTTAGATGCACTTGCACGTTAGAACTGGAGTTGAAGTGCCCTGACATACAGAAAATAAATGTTTTTATTTTGTGTCTGTATATGCTTTTGAATGGCTGTCTATGAGGGTCAAATTGACACGCGAACATCACAAGCGTAACAGTAATTTTGTTTGTATATGTCAAAACACATCAGCATGTTGAACCAGTATTTCCAACAACTTGAAAATCGAAACGGGTCAAATTGACCCGCAACATAACACAAGGGTTAATACTCTCTTTCAGTCACTTCCATGCACTAAAAGTGTGTAAATTAATACATTTTCATAAAGAATAGGCAATACATTTTATAGTAATTACAAGCTAATTTATCAGGTAGAAAATGTAAGTAAAAAGTATTTTAAAAAATCCTTATCCAGAAAACCAAGAATGACTGGAAAGTCCAAATATATAAAGTAAAATAAAATAAAAATAGTGGGATCCCTGAAGAACATTCAGTGCTTAAAACGTCTGGAATTCTGAAACTCTGAAATTTTAGTTAAATTGTTTGATTACACTTATTTAACCCTCTACAGCACAGTTTTCTTAAGCCCTATGTTCAATACATGTTTCTTTAAATGATTGTGTTACCCATTAGAATGGTTTAAAAAGTATCAAAGAACAGTGATACTTATTGGAGCTGTGGGAGTCACTATCAAGCACCATTTGAAGGTGGGACGTCCTTTTCTGACACATGGTCACAGGAGCACATGTGAGAGGAAGGCGAGATTATTTGCTTTAGTAATCTTATTTAAAATGACATGAACTGTACATAAAAAAATTGTGTGTGTGTGTGTGTGTGTGTGTGTGTGTGTGAAGGTGTAGAGAAGCCTTTTGGCAGATCTTATGAAGTTTTTTTTATTTTGCATGTTCAGAAATTCAGTTTTTGTTTTTGTTGTCTCAGGGCAACGTTGTGCGATAAGGGGTACTTTTCAAGGATGTCTTGGACAATACCTCACACTGGCGATGGCAAATAATATGTGACAAGAAAGGAAGATACAGGGTTCCTGGGTGCACAATAACACCCAAAGAGATGTGCAAAAAGTGTAACGTACACCTCTGTTTCACAGCAGAGAAGAACTGCTTTTTGGAGTTTACATGAAGTTAAGTTCATGATGACATGACACACTACATGATACAAACCTATGTCTGTATCAAATCTAATTTATCAATGTGTTTCAAGTGTTTTTCCCTTTTTACTTAATGATTTCTTGTCATTTTTGAAAAAGATTTGTGATTTTTGCATTGCTCTCTGAGCATTGTATTATGATCATTTTCTCAATGATTCTGTAGCGTTGTTAGGGCAACGAGAAAATTTTTTTTTTTTTGGGGGGGGGGGACCTCTGAGTCAAAAAGATTGGAAACCACTGATATAAATACTCATGGATGTATTAAATGCACATGTAGGCTATATTAAATGAAACTATGTTAATTTATTTACAGAACTATATTATGTCATCATACCTTAAAGGAGACCTAAATTATGCAAAATTCACTTTTACATGGTGTTTGAACATAAATGTGTGTCGGCAGTGGGTGTATACAACCACATTATAATGGTACAAATCCATCCACTCAACCCCATAAATCATAAGCAGTGTCTAGCTTTTGTAATGTCACAAATGTCTAGGCCCCACCCACGACTACTGACGGACTCTGCCCTATTAGCATAGACCCCGCCTCTGAGCTGCACACTGTACGCCATGTTTATCTCCTCGCCTGAGTATTTAACAGCATTCAAGTTAGAAATGTATTAAAGGGGTGGGTGATTATGATTTCACTTTTCTAACTTTTTAGTTAGTGTGTAATGTTGCTGTTTGAGCATAAACAACATCTGAAAAGTTACAACGCTCAAGTTCAAAGCAAAGAAAGATATTTGCTTTTAAAGAAATCGTTTTTTAAGGACTACAACAAATGGCTGGTAGGGACTACAAGACATTCCTCCTGGGTTAGTGACATCACTAATCCTAAAATTTACATAAACCCCGCCCCCGGGAACACGCAGTCCATGTTGTTGAAAGAATATGCTAATCAATGACTTGAAGATAGTTAACTCCACATCAGCAACATAAATTAATCAACTAACCATTCAGAAACTTCCTGTTGCATTCTGTATGTTGTCACTTCTTCTTGAGTCTCTCCATCATTGTCCGACTCCAGTTTAAACATAAAAGGCAGAACAGTTTCTGACATTTTAGTGCTCCTCTGCGTGAGGTAATCGGAAGCTGCTAACACACACACACACACACACACTCTTGAAGCTCCACCCTCTGTGCCGGGAGCAGCAGCACATTTGCATTTAAAGGGACACATCTTCATATTAACAAGGTACTGTACATTACGCTGCTTTCACTTTAATACACAGATCTAATACACACATGCGATTTCTTTACTTACTGTTTACGTTCACAGACATAACCAACTGTGTTTATGTGAACTTTGTTTGACAACCGTGTGTGTATTTGACACTTTAAGTGCAATAAGACATGAAAAAGAACATACTACTCACGCCGTCTGACATCCAGCTTTCTGTGCGAATGCTTTGGATGTGTGCGCTCAGGAAACCATATATCAGAAATTTTAGACTGATATGGCTTTATGCAGATAATAAACTTTAATGACAATAAACTTTCATGATGAAGAACTGCAGTCACATGAGCGTGACCACATTAGAGATGATAATAAAAACAGAATACACAGGTTTCCTGTTACAAACATTACAGGGTGCATGCACATACCAGAGGCAGAAAGCCAGATTGGTGAGCTGGTCCGCTACAGCAACAACCTTTAGTATTGAAGCTTTCCTTATTGTTTGTATTGTTTGTATATAACTGCTGACTCAATAAAACGTGATTTTAGTTGGATCTGTTTGTCTGTCTTTAATTTTGCAGTGTTACTGTGATATATGTATGAATTATCATGTTAGGCTAGTAATGTAAAAGCTAATGTTAGGAGTGCAGCATCTACTTGACAGCCCGAATTTGCTTTTATACAAGTTCTACCAGAAAGACTCTGGAGAAAAATACTGTTACAATTAACCATTTATCAACAGCCCAGCAAGCAATATTATGATATACACTCACCGGCCACTTTATTAGGTACACCTGTCCAACTGCTCGTTAACACTTAATTTCTAAGCAGCCAATCACATGGCGGCAACTCAGTGCATTTAGGTATGTAGACATGGTCAAGACAATCTCCTGCAGTTCAAACCGAGCATCAGTATGGGGAAGAAAGTTGATTTGAGTGACTTTGAACGTGGCATGATTGTTGGTGCCAGAAGGGCTGGTCTGAGTATTTCAGAAACTGCTAATCTACTGGGATTTTCACGCACAACCATCTCTAGGGTTTACAGAGAATGGTCCGAAAAAGAAAAAACATCCAGTGAGCGGCAGTTCTGTGGGCGGAAATGCCTTGTTGATGCCAGAGGTCAGAGGAGAATGGCCAGACTGGTTCGAGCTGATAGAAGGGCAACAGTGACTGAAATAACCACTCGTTACAACCGAGGTATGCAGCAAAGCATTTGTGAAGCCACAACACGCACAACCTTGAGGCGGATGGGCTACAACAGCAGAAGACTCCACCGGGTACCACTCATCTCCACTACAAATAGGAAAAAGAGGCTACAATTTGCAAGAGCTCACCAAAATTGAACAGTTGAAGACTGGAAAAATGTTGCCTGGTCTGATGAGTCTCGATTTCTGTTGAGACATTCAGATGTTAGAGTCAGAATTTGGCGTAAACAGAATGAGAACATGGAACCATCATGCCTTGTTACCACTGTGCAGGCTGGTGGTGGTGGTGTAATGGTGTGGGGGATGTTTTCCTGGCACACTTTAGGCCCCTTAGTGCCAATTGGGCATCGTTTAAATGCCACGGCCTACCTGAGCATTGTTTCTGACCACGTCCATCCCTTTATGGCCACCATGTACCCATCCTCTGATG